AAGCTGGAGGTCTGCTCCTGCTCGGCTGCTCGTCCTCCTCCTCTCCTCCAGCCTGGCTGTTCAATGCTTTTTTTGCTGCTACTCCCTCTCTCCTGGGAATCAATGGACAGTGGTCTGTGTCCCGAGGCTGAGGTTTGTGTCCATCTCTCTCTCCCCAATCCTTTTCCTCTTCCACTGCACCTGTGCAGTTCCCAAACTCTCACCTGCAAGAACTCAGTGCCTGTGTTGGAAACGGAAGAGCCGAATCAGAAGCTGCCTTAAGCCAGGAGTGCGAGGGAAGAGAACTACCTACTGCTCACCTGGGGATCTGCTCTGTGTCCTGGCCCTGCTGCCACACTGGAGCCCTGGGAGCTGAAGAGAGGTCTACAGAAGCATGCAACACTAGTCTTTTCTTTTTTATATCTGTCCATTTTCAAGTTTCAATTTGCAGAGCAGATGGAGGAAGTGGCCGGGGCCACTAACGGCGCCCTCTGATCCTTCCTCTCATGGCCGCTCTCACTCAGAGTTGTGCCAACAGGTAGCACAGGCAGCTGGCTACAGCCAGAGCCTCTCTCCAGAGCTCACAGCAGCATTTGGGTTTTTGCAACACAAGATGGATGATATTTATGCAAATCCTCCCTCCCTCCGTTCTCTGTGCCGCCTCCTTGTCCCCTTGTCCTTCCCTGAGCTTTCCAATGTGCACTGAAATTGGCTGTGCTTCAGTTCTCTGCGGGTCAGTGACTGGTCCCCCTGCCCTGCCCGTCTACTCAGCAACGCTCTCTCCTGGTTTTTATTTACCTGGGCAACAGGAACTGCAGTTCTGGGGAGGGGGATTGAGCAATCACACCTCAGGGGAGCACATCCCCCCCTCAAGCCAAGGGTTCTGCCAGGGGCAAAACGAAAACACAAACAAAACCCACCCAAATGAACCACGTTGACTTGCCCTGGAGTATTTTAAGTGCGTATTATGAAAAGAAAATATTTTTATGGATTCTTATTCTTTTATAATTATGAGTGTAAGATGTAGCGACTCATTAAAATATTGGAAAGAGACGTGGTGGCTGCTTTGGGGGGCAGGAGGAAGCAGCAGCTGCTGCCACAGCCAGAGCAGCTCTGCTGCAAGCCAAGTGCTCTGTTCTTTCTGTGCCGAGCAGTGGAGAGAATATTAAATCCCTGATGTTCCTCGGGGGAAGCACGATCCAAGCAACTGAGGGTTGGGAATCCTGGGCTGTGTGCTGGCTCACAGTGACCTTGAGCAGCCAGCAGCAGCCTGGGGTGGGCACCTCCCTCCCTCCCTGCCGTGGGATTGGGGGTGCAGCTGCTCTGCTCCCCCTCTGGGACACACTGAGCTGTTTGTGCAGGGCTGGGCCTGCCTCTGCTCGCCCTCGCAGCCCAAAGCTCCCAAACCTGGCCTTGCTTTGCCTTCCTCCGTGGGAGCTGCTGTTAATTAACCCGCTGTTAATGCCCTGAGGGTGCTGCTGGAGGCTTGTTCTAAATGCAGAGCTTTTTCCAGATGGAGCATTTGGCTTCCTGGGGATGCCTGGGAGCAGATTTTCCCCGTTCTTCTTGTCCCTGTGCCCAAATAATTGTCCCAAATATTGCAGCTGTGGTTTAGCAGGTACAAAGAACCTCAGGTGTGAGTTTTGAAAGGAAGGACTGGGATGGAGAAAGTTGTACCTCTGAGATGTGTCTATAAGAGCACTCTGCACCCTCTGTTCCTCACAGCCAGCTGGGTGCTGCTGGATGGTAAGAAGCTTTATTTTTGCAGAGTTTGTTTCTGTGCTTCCCTAATTTAATTTTTAGGCCTAATTTGAACTGCTTTTTCCTCTCCCCAAAAAGCTGAGTGTTTCTTAAAATATCTTAAGACGCTCTTGTCTAGAAGAGTTTGCAGATCTGTTGGCTCCTCTGATCCCCCAGCTTGCTGCTGGATTTTTTGGCACCCTAAAAAGGGGTTGGTCATCTTTTGGGGATTGAGAATCCCGAGAGGAATTAGCTGGGAAATCTCCTCGAGGAGCTGTTCCATATGGAACAGGCTCTGTCGGGGATTGAAACACAAATGATGTGGGAGACCCCACCCCGGGAAGGGATGGGAGCAGGGTGGCTCTGGGTGGAGGATTTGCAGCTGGAGGATGAAATGAAGCTGAGTTAATTTCCTGAGTGAATGGTAATGACAGAGGAACCAGCAGGTGCTGGGGAAACCAGGCAAAAAGCACTTTTCTTCAAGAATTTGGGACTTGAGAGTGCCTTGGGAGGCATTTCCCTCCCAAAACTCACCCTGTGGGGCTTTATTTTTAGGTGGATGGTGTGGAGGGAGAACAGATGTTCTGGAGGGCTTATTTTTAAAACAAAATCACTCCTCAAGCTACAGAATTAGCTCAGAAAAGTCCCTCCTTGCCCTGAAAGATGCTCGAATGGAAAACTTCCTGGCATCTCCATTCCCAAAGTGGGTGTGATAAAGGTGCCACCACAGCTCTGGCTCTGGGAAAGCCACGTCAGTGGAAACTCTGGTGGGTGCTTGGGGGTCTCAGGCACTTGATCTCTGTCCTGGGCCGTGCAGAACAACTGGAGCAGCTCAGACATCCCGGGGTCCCCCAAAGGAGGAGCGGGGTGTCCAAGGACAGGGCTGGGCTCTGGGTGTGTCTGTGCTGCCCAAACCAAAGGGGTGTAAATTGATCTTGGAGAATCCCCTGCGAGGGATTTTGGTGAAATCACAGGCATCCCAGCTCCGTGCTGGGACACAGGGAATGCTCAGGGCATGGCCTCTGCAGAGAACCCTCCTGTCACAGCTCCTCTCGGAGCTGGCACAGATTTCTGTGCTTCCCCTGTGCTCTAATCCAGGATTTTCCTGCTTTGGAGGCTCAGCCCAGGGTCCCTGACTCCCTCTCCCCAGCCCCATCCCATGGCCCTCACCCTGGGGCTGCTGCTGGCCCTGCTGGGCTGTGCCACAGCACCGGACCCTGCCTGGAGGAGGCCAGGCAAGGGTGGAAGAGTCTCTATGCCAAGGAATGTCTGGTCCCTTTGCCCCTGACCACCGTGCCCGTGTCCCTCTGTCCTCATGTCCCCCTGTCCATCC